CATGTTTGGTGTCTCTTTACCCGACGTGACCCCGTCTTTTACATTTTACCAAAAAATTGGGTAATTATAAATGTTTTAGAATTTAATATAGGGGGAACTTTTTTAAAAAAATTCTGTAATTTTTCCTTAATATATTAAAAAATAAAAACCGCAGTGGTGATTAAATACCACAAAAATAAAGCTCTATGTGTCCCCAAAAAAGGGTATAAAATTCATTTCAGTACAGCGCTGCATGACGGAATAAATGTCAGTCAAAGTACCGCATCGCTGAATACTGAAAAATGGCCTGGATGGGAAGGGGGTTTAACACCCCGGATGTCAACTGGTTAAATAAATAATACAGATAGAGAAAGAGATGTGTTGTATAGGTTAATATAAAGAAATGGGACACAGATGTAAGTAAACATATAGGTATTGTAGAGATAAAAGAGATGAAACATAAATAGATGTGTACAATAAGTGCAGATATATGTAGCACAGTGGTAAGAAAACAGACATGTATTGCAGGGGCAGATACATAAAGATGTATTACAAATGCAAACAGATATAATGTATTATAGGTACACAGAGATAGATCACATAGATAGACATGACTCATACATGCAATAAAAAAAATTAACAATAACATATGCATTTTAAGTACAGGTACATAAATAGCACAAAAGTAGGCAGATCGATGTACGGCGACATATATAAAATAATCCTAACTTACGTTCGTGTGTCTATCACCATGCAACACACAGCCAAGGAACCCTACTTACCGTGTGGTTGACCCCCCACATCAGCACACTCAGGAGGGGCTCGCTGGCTCGGAAGAGCTTTACTTTCTGACACACGAAATGCTTCTTCTTGGTTTTGGTCTTGCTAGCGCTGCCCACGGCGGAGCTGCTGCAGTTGGAGGCCATAGTGCAGACACCAGTGGCGGAGGCTGGGAACTCCCAGCTCTCTGCCACCCCTTGGCACTGATCTAGTTGTCGGGACCCACTTTCGGAACATTGGCTACTACTAGCTCATGTCACCACTCCGGTCCAGCCGGATGAATCAGAGCCTGCTGATCTATTCCCCGGTGGTGTCAGTACAGGTTACCGCTTGGCAGCTCGGCGCAATGGCTGTGCTCCATAAAGTTCCCTCAGAGAACGTTTATTGGATACGTGTCTACCACCTCCTTCAATCCCTTAGGCTTTTCCTGCAGATTTCGGTCTAGAGCCTACTACGGTATATGGCCGAGTCCGGTCCCCTCTCTGGACAAGATGGCTGCTTGTTGTGGGCGGGGCGGGATATGTGAAGTGATGAACGGGGAGAATTTGGGAAACGCTACATTCTCCGCACAGGCAACGGGCACTTGCACAGGGGACAGAAACAAGGCACATAGATCCACTCAATGTCACTAGTATGCGGACAATACATTTTACTGCTGTTTGCCTGAGGCGTAACGGGCGTAGAAGTGTATCATTAGCACCCCCACAAATGCAAGTCAATGAAACATTCTGGTAACAGCCAGAATTGATTGAGCTGTAATGTGTGTGGATGAAACACAGGATATACAGTATAATGTTCGCATATGTTTATGGTAAAGTACATAAGTTGGCTACCAGCATAGTTATGCAGATAATTACTAATGCTTTCAACAAAATTTTGCAGCTGTGCTTGGTCTAACCGTCCAACCTGAGTTTTTAAGAGTACTCGTCACAGTACAATTAATCATCTAGCAGCCATCAGGGGAATTCAATAGTGTGTTTAAGGGCCTGTTCACGTGAGTTTCAGGTCCGGATCTGCAGACGCGGTGCTACTGATGCAGTGCGTTTTGGCCGCGTTTTTGATGCGTTCCAGTAAAAAAAAAAATCCTGGAGTGGGGCTGTTAGTATGTTAACTGCAGTGCAGTGCGGTTTTGACGCGTTTGCGTTTCCTGACCGTACAAAATGTGACATGCAGTATTTTTCTGTCATAACCTGAACGGACTGCGCACGTGAGAACTTTAGCCCATAAAACACATAGGGATACGGTGGGATGCATTTTGAGTGCAGGAGCGTACGAATCAGGTCAGCACACAAAACAGACGTCCTGTGAACAGGCACTGAACCAAAATTCTGTCATTAGTGCAACCTAACAAATATCTGCACCAAATTCTAAAACATGCTGCACCATTTTTCAAGACCTCTACCACTCTTGCTACAAATTCAAGAAGTTCTTATTTGCACCATATTTCATTATGGTGCAGTGCTAGCGACATATTCAATAAACAAACTCTGACAGTTCAGTAAGACCCCGTTCACATTGAGCGATTTATCGTGCGGTAATTCCCGCGATATCGCAGCAAATTACCGCGCGATATCGCGCTCCAATGCAATCCAATGGGGCAAAGGGTCCTGCTGTAGCGGGTCGTGTGTCGCTACAGCAGGACCCTTTTTTGAGCGGATTTAGCCGCGATTCAAGCTTGCTCAATGCAAGCTTGAACGCGACATCGCGCGGCAAATCTCGCGATGTCGCGCAATATGCAAATCGCGCGACAAACGCGCGATTTGCATATCGCGCAGTGGGAACGGGGCCTAAGAGTTCAGTAGAAAGAATAAGAAAAGTGATGCAAAGTAAGACCAAGTACTTTTTGGCATAAATAGCCTGTCTCACATTCATGGTTACAGGAATATTGTGTTCTTTGCACCAAATTCATACACAAGGCTGCATAGAATTCATGAATTCTGCACAAACCTATGAAATTGGCATTGGCTTGCCAGGCAATGTTGGAGCAGATATATACACACTGAAAAATTACATTAGGTGGGAAATTAGCAAAGGCTTTGTGTCTTTTTTTCTTGCAGTCGCATCTTGTAAAATAAGGCTAAATAAACGCAAAGGATTATTACCGCGTTTGCATAATTTTCCCGCCACTGCTGCAACACTTAAAGGAGAACTATGAGATGAGTGATTTCCACTCACCTCATAGTTTTAGCCGACCTGTGACAATGAGACTGTCACAGGTCGGCTCAGTAGATCGGGAGGTGAGCGAACACATACCAGGTTCGCTCACCTCTCGATCCTGTCACGGCTCTCTGCCGTGACAGGGGGAGGGGCTGGATTCCCCTCTCCCCGCTCTGATCTGCCAGCGCTGACTGGCGGAACGGACGGTGGAGGGGGCGGGTACAGCTGGCTCTGCCTCTAGATAGGCAGAGCCAGCTGTCACTCACGCAGCTGGGCGGATCCCGTCATCTACGTCGGGATCCGCTCCGGCTGCGGCATCTCAGTATACCGCGAGCTGTAGCTCGCGGTATACTGAGCTTAGGGTAACGGGAGGACACTAGTTTGTGTCCTCCCGTTACCCTAAGGAGAACTATGGGGAAAAACACTGACCCCCATAGTTCTCCTTTAAGTATTTGTGATCAGATGCATACCAATTGCAAAAAGACATATAATCTACACACCTATATCAAATCTGTGACATTCCTTTGCATCTGAAATTACACACAGAAGAGTCACAATGTTAAGAAGTCCTCCTGAGGACTTATTAAAATAGTGCAATGTAGTGCCGTGGGCTGTGTTATCCCATCATAAAAGTCTTCTCACTCCTTCTTTTAACCCTTTTTATGGAAAGCAGCTCTACATACCCCATTAATTTAAAACAAATATAGACAATCCATTGGAACCCACATTAAAAATCACTAATAAAACTATTTAAATCAAACTCTACATTAAGACCATTAGGTACCAATGTATTGGGTTTATGTTTTCAAAAGGATTATTTTTTGGATAAGTCCCTTACTATATTAATCCCTCTCCAATGCGGTTTAATTTTTTTCAATCCCCCAAAAAAGTGTGTGTTCCAATGGATTGTGTATATTTGTTTTAAATTAATGGGGTTTCCGCAAACAGGGCCAGTGGATCCATCTGGTCCATTATTGAGAACCATCATAATACTCCTGATTGTGCCATTTATTTTTCATAGCATACACATAGAGATAGGAGAATGTGTACATAGGTGCAGGCTGTTAGTCTATTCCTATTTCATTTTGCACTTCGCACAGCTCCCACACACACGTTAAGTGCCATGGAATAGTAGTTTTGGTTGTTTTAGAAATATTTATTTGATAGTATGTTAATGGTGGCATTGGTCTAGATTGCATGAACGTGAAGATCAAAGATTTCAATTTTAAATGATGTGTTTTATACACTGACACAGGACGTTTGCTACTTTATTAGTCGTTTGGAGTTTTTTTTAGATTATCACCTGGTGATTCACACAAACAGTTGACTAGAAGATTTAAAGGAGAACTATTATATATATATATATGTTTTTTTGTTGTTTTTTTCTCTCACAGTAGTATTGTTCACTATAATATTTGTATTTTGCACATATTATTTGTTTACTTGTTGGGTGATAGCGCCGCTTCACATATTTGAATTATATTAATGCAGGCTCATGCAGCCAATTTAAGTGAGCAGCTGTAAGGAGTAACGGACAGTTTTTCTTAGATTAATCGAGCGCAGAAACCCCTGTAGATTATTTTTTGTGCTCGCAGACCACAAATCTTATTCTTGCAGGAAACGCACCTGACGGGTAATAAAATTCTTGCACTAATTAGGCCTCAGATAATTTTATGGTACAAAATATAGAAGCTCCAACTAGAAATGATCTGTTAATCTCAAGCAATGCTGCTGAAATTTTCATTAAAAGGAATATCTGAGTAGCTGTGACCATATGATTTAATTTAACTTAAGAAATAAGCAATGGTGACATATTGGAAAAATAAAAACACTTAGGGGGTTATTCACTATTGATCTGAAGGATACAGCTGTAGCTTCGGCTGATCCTTCAGATCTCTTCGGCCATCGAAGCCCTTAGGTTCAGTCGAACCCAAAGGGCTGCTGTACGGGCTATTCACTATAGCTCGTACGGCAGCCGCGCTGAAGGCATATGCTTCGGCTCGACTGAGCCGAAGTGACAGCCGAAGCGGGGCGAAAGGCCAGCCGTTTGCCCAGCAAATGACAGTTGGGCGGAGCCAGCCGTGATCTCACAGCTGGCTCCGCCCAGTTGTAATGACAGATCAGCATCCCCAAATGACCTGGGAACACTGATCTGTCCAGGGCCGGACTGGGACTAAAAATAGGCCCGAGCATTTTAGACTGAGCAGCCCAATCACGTGACCACCGGCAGGCCACACCCCTCACAAAAGGGGGCGGATCCAAACATAGAAGCGCAATCGAGGGGCAGGGCCGGCCACTAGTAAGTACCGGAGGGCTACAGCTGACACACAAGCCTTGCTACAACCAATACACAAACCTTGCAACAATATAGGAAGCTTGCTATAGAGAATATCTGTAAAAAATAAGTCAAGGCACTGATCACGCTGAATTGAGAAAGCTGGTTGGGTGGCCAGTGAAACGTCTTCAAGTAAAATACAGCAAGTCCAGTTGCCTTGATTTATTCATACTTTAACCCCTTCATGACTGAGACCCTTTTTTCATTTTTTGTACCCATGTTATATTCCACATTTTAGGCCTGAAAATGACTTAAAACCCCCCAACATTATATATTTTCTGAATGCCAAGACCATATAGAATAAAATGGTGGTAGTTGCAAATTTTTATGTTGCGCAATATTAGCGCAACTCCTTAATAAACCCCAACATTTAGTGAAAAATGTAATTAAATGCCCCAAAACACAACAAAATACCAATTTTTTAAATGAAATATAAAAGATGAGGTTACAACGAGTAAAACGATACCCAACATGCCCAGGTTACAAATTGCGTGCATCCGTAAAACGGCGAAAAACTGCAGTATCCCAAAAAGTCAATAGAAGACGCTTTAAAAGCCCCCACAGGTCATCAATTTAGAGATACCCCAAAATACTGGCCCTAGAATTATTGCTCTCACTCCGGCGTGCGCGGCGATACCCAACATGTGTAGCGCGTTCGTCGTTTTCATACGTAGGCGCACCCGACGCGTGTTTACGTGGCGACGCGCGTGCTCGCGGGGGCTGGGTACTTTTAAAATTTTTTTTATTATTATTAGATTTATTTTATTTCATTTTAATTGAAAAAGCTTTTTTTTTTTAACTTTACTCTGACTGCTATCACATAGGGGG